CTATAAATATCAATAAAGTTTTATCTGTTGGGCCAAAAAGTGTAAAAATTTAATACAAAGCTCCTGATATATTGTTACAATAGCAATTAAAAATTTTAAAAATACATACCTACAATTTTTTTTTATAATTATTTAAAGATCGAATTTTGACAACATTTATCAAAATCTCGAAAATTATCAATCATTGTAATTAATAAATTATAAAATGTTCAGTTTTCATGCTAAGGATTGCAAATTTAAAACAAAGGTTCCTTCTCATAAATAGTTCATACTGTAACCAAAAAATCTAAAAAATATATGAACACAGTTATTTTTTACAGACATTTTAAATTTAAATTTGGACGAAATTACATAATAAAAAACCTAGAATAACTATTTTAGTTATTTTGTTGTGATTGTATAATATTTTTCGTGGGTACTTGAAACTTCTAAAGTATACTACTATATATCTATGATAGTATCAGAGTTTGTTGTTGGTGTATAACGCGTTATAAGTACCTAATGGATATTGTGATATGATTAATTTGGAATTCATTATAGGTCAATTTTTTTTAATACCATAGATAAGTATATAATATGTCTTATACCTAGAAGGACATACCGTCTCCGCTCAGAATCGTTTTTCTTATACAATGATATAATATCATTGAATTCAAATGTAATACCATCCATTATACAGTGACCCACTTGTAACCTACTGTACAGCAGAGCGACACCCACTTGCCCACCTTTTTACTATTCATTTTTTTACATGTGATTATTATTATGATCATCAGAACCTGGATAATAGTTTTTTCCGTTTGTTACAATCTTTATCTGTGTTTTGTTATACCTTATAATTATAAAATAAACAAATTGCTGTTTTAACCTTTTATTATTTTAATCCTCGGTATATAAAATAATTTTAATATGGTAAATTCAAATATTTATTGAATGAAAATTAGCCTGCATAATAAAAATTAGAGAAGGTTAATTTTTTTATTTTTTGATCCATTTCACCAGCATGTCAACAGTTTTTTTTGATTTGCTAAAAAACTATTTGTCCGCAAAAAATGAAAATTAGTAAGCAAAATTGCGCGATTTATCCGCAAAATGATGGCATAATAAAAATTAGAGAACGTTAATTTTTTAATTTTTTGAACCATTTCACCTGCATGTCAACAGTTTTTTTAGTTTTATTAAAAAAGTATTTGTTCGCAAAAATTGAAAATTAGTCCACAAAATTACGCAAATTATCCGCAAAATAACGTATGTATCAAAATTGGAAAAATCGAAAATGTACATGCTGTCGAAATGGATCTCCGGTGTACCACATTCTATATTACACCTATAGGTAATAAGTGGTATTTCATACCTCATTAGTTATTACTTATCATAGTGTTATTATTTAAATACTACTTAGTAGTCGTTATAGTCGTATTTTGTAAAAAAAATAATTCAAAAATGTATGGATATCGTCATTATTGGTAAGTCCCAACTTTTGAAATGAAAATATAATATAACGTGATAAAAAATTTAATAATATACATTTGGTAACAATGAGACTGTAATTTAAATAAAAATTTTAAATGTAACGTTTAACGTAATTATATTGGATAGGTACCTACTTTGAAAAGTAATTTACAGAACAATAAATCTAAGTTATTTTATATTATTTTTAGGTAATTCTTATAAATTTCATATTATATAATTGTTCACTATCGCATACTTAACCCCCTATAGTTTCTCTAATCTCTAATAATTTTAATTTAAAAACAATACATACACGTTCAGGTATACCAACAATAATACGATAAAAACATAGTGTTTACCTTTGAACTGCTTACATATAATATAGATTATAATATTAATTAATATATAAATATATATATATATTGTATTATTATTTATACTAAAAGTTTTTTAATTAGGTACTATAACATAGTATATAGTACATAATATATGTTTTTTTTTTTATATATTCTTAAAATATTTATGTAATTAATTTTTTGAAGTATTCGTATACGTTAGTAATCATCTACACCTTTGTTTTTTCTTTGTTAATTAAGTCTTTCACTTATATACAACAACTGAGAATTACTTTTTTAACCTGCAGTATATTTTATGACTACATAATTCAAAACAATTGCTTTCCAATGTAATTATATAATTATAACTAAAGGAATATTATAACATATAATAAAATATATTGTTTTTGAAATTAGATAAAATTTTATGAACTTGATTTTCAGTGTTATATATCTTGTAAATATTTTATTATCTGTTGTACACTTAAACATTTTTAATTAGGTACTATGTTATTTATCTTGAAATTTTTTTATTCAAACATTTTTAAAATATTTACGTAATTTATTTTTTGAAGTATTCGTATACGTTAGTTATTATCTAAATTTTTGTTTTTCTTAGATATTAACTTTTTCACTAATATGAACTTACTTATATATCCGTCCAACGTAATAAGCGAATCTGTGGCAATGGACGGGTATATGCGTCTTATCATTTAAAAACTAACAACTAATGTTTTAATTAATGTGATGACCTGTCCATGTGGTAAATGATTAGACAAATTCAAAGAAAATCTAAACAAATTACAAATAAAAAATTTAAATTTAAAAAAACTTATTAGGCCTAACCACAACAATAATTCTTATAAATTTCAGATTATTAAATTTTTTATCATCGTAACTCACTGTATTTTCTCAAATCTCAAATTGTTTTGATTCAAAAATGATACATACACTGCTTGTATACATCTGTATAGGTATCAATTATAAGACGATAAAAACATAGTGTTTATCTTTAAAGTCAGTGAATAACGAGTTAACAATAAAAAAATGATAATACTATAATAGGAATATTATAATAGAAAAATTGTATTATGTAATATTATCTATAATGGTATTTTAATAAATAAGAACCTAGTAAATTAATTTGACCGTCTAAATAACCGTTCAAATTCATTAAATATATAAACGCCGTTCACGTTTAAGTTTTATTTGAGAAAATAATGAGTGACGGACGACGGTCAAGCAGTGTTGCCTATAACCTAATAATTAGATTCTAAATTTATCTATGACATATTATGTCTTAACAGATATGTTAGATGTGGGCCCATCATAGGTATAGGTTAGGTTAGGTACTGCCTCAACTACTTGCATCAAGGTACTGCATCCAGAGTTTACGCCAAAACATAAAAAATAAATGATTACACATTGCATTACCTTTATTATATAATGTAGGTGCTTTGATTTGCATCTGATGGTTTAAATGGGCAAAATTGGATACCGTTATTCACTTTAAAACCGAAATAAGAAAAAATTGGATACTGGTATTATAGTTAAAAACCAAAACCGAAAATATAATTTTAAAAACGGTATTTTTTCAAAAATTCTTTGGATTGAAAAGTTTACTTTACACAAAAGGCGATTCGAACTATCGATTCATAGATTAAAAAAAAATTATAAACTTAGAATAAATATGGCCTTGAAACCGATTTTAGGAACCGGTATAAACCGTTTAAGAACTGAAACTGAAAACAAAATCCAAAACGAAATCTGAAAAATTTGGAAACCGGTATTAAATTCAAAACCGAAACTGAAAAAAATTGAAAACTGGTATACAACCGGTTACAATCGAAACCAAAACCGAAATTTTGACTTTAATGTATTTTACATTGCAATTTTAACATATTATTTATACTGCAATTTTCATATATTTTTAGTCCAATTTTCACATATTTTTATCACAATTGAATTCGGTCTTTAACAACAATAATTATAATATTAGGGTTCTGTTTGAAATTGAAGTTTTTCAATTGAAATATTTAAAAATTGAAAATTTCAATACCTTTTCTCAAAATGTTTCAATTAAATTATGAAATATATTATTTTTTTTCTTTTAAACGTGTTCTGTTATATATGATAAGAAATAATATTATATTGATAACACTCAGAACACGTTGGTAGAGAATAACCTATCAGTTTTCAACAAAGTTTTACGAATAATTATTATAATATATTAATGGTTATAAATTAAGTATAAAATATGGTGTATTGACATTAGTTGTATTATAATTCGTAATATTGTATCAGAAAAATCTAAAATATTTTGTGATTAAAATTCAAAGATCTTATAGAATAAAGTAATACAGAAATTTAACTTATATTACTTACTTATAAAATTATAAGGTTATAACAATTTGCACTACTATAATTCAAAAAATTACAATATCGTACCTATCTACCTAAATTAATAGAGAAGTAAAAAATAAAAACCCCAAACAATTTTTTTATGAGTTTTAAAAAATGTTGGGTATGGTGTTTAGTTGGCTTATGAGTTTGTAATTTAAGAGTTTAAAGGTTCCTTATTTACATTATATTATGTAAGTCATAAGTATGTTACACATTTTCTTTGTTTCATAAAATAAACCAACATTTTAAAATATTCACTTACAAGTTGATGACTGTAAATTCTTACATGTATTAAACATTTTTTTATTCTTCATAGAAATGAAATTGTTTATGAGAATTTCATGAAATATTTCAAGAAAATAAATGTCAAGAATTTCTAAAACCATATTTATAATATTTCGTGTACTACGTACCTCTATCGTCGGCCTTCGATAACTCGTCGAACCTAAAAAAATTCTTCTGTTCTGACCTTTGCTGCGAACCAATCGGAAATGATTATTTACCTATGATTAAGAACGTCTGAACCTATATCGGTTTATTTGTTTATAAATAAAAACAACTCCATAATATATTAAAAGTATAATAATCGTATAATGAAGTATTAATTATTATAATATTACAATACCTTCACAAATACATGCATAATATCATAAATAATTATACAAGACATTAAACAATTATTATAGGTATGCTAAACTGCTCAATGATTAAGTATTATATCGTGGATACAATAGAAAAATAAAATTAAACTGAATTCAAATACATAGTTTTTGTTTAAAAGATGTAAATTGTAAGTTTGCGATTTCGTTACTAAGGGTTTTTAGGTTTCAAGACTTTAACCATGATTTCCAAGAATGCATCACGAGGCGGGATGCGGGTCCTGGTTTTTGTGATGGTTGTAGTGATTTTTGGTATCGGGTCGATGTTGGTCGTGGTAGCGGTGGTGGTCATGGTCGTTGTTTTCGTGGTCTTCGAAAACTTGTTATTGGCTGCAGGAACGACGAATTCAGTAGTCGTGGTGGTGACAATGGCCGGTTTTATAGTGACGCATTTGAGAGTGGTCACAGTGGTTGTGGTGGACGTGATCGTTGTGGTATGCCTAGTGGTAGTCGACTGAGCCTTGGTCGTTATTATAGTCGTTGTCGAAGAGGTAGTAACCGTGGTAGTGGCTAAACCATGGGTACGTATGACCGACTTCTCTGGCGGCATTGGAAACAGGAATCCCTTTACCGAACGGAAGACCTTAGCCGTTCCAGACCTCAGACGAGTGGCAAATGTTCGACGTCTTTTGGGTTGGTCTGCTAAAAGGCCGACCTTTAACTCCGGTTCGGCGCATTTGTTATCACGATCGTTTAACCCCATGATGTTCTGCTGTTGTTTTTATCAGGTAATCTGATTCACTATAACAAAAACGACACGTAGGTCGTAACATAATTATTATTACGACTCGTCGAACATTCATAATATAATAACAAATTGACGGTCGTCAAGATCGTTTGTTAATATTTGTATAATTATATTGACAAACGACGACAATCGACAATCGGACGGTATATATTACTCATAAAAACTACTTCGGAGAAGTAAAAAAGGCTTTCTGTGCGTAAGTTGAAGAGATTGGGAGAAAAGATAGAACTTTGGTGTTAATAAAGATGTGAAATCAATCTCAAAGTTCTGTGCCAAAAAGGGCCACGGTTGAAAAAATAGAATTTGGGGCTTAATAAAGAAGTGAAACAATACCCAAATTATGTGCCTCAACTTGAAAAAATATCTTATTCAAAAAAATTTCAAGATGTTCAACTGTACAAACATTAAAAAAAAATATTAGCACAGAACGGCGTGAATTACAGTTTGTCAACAAAAATTCGAATCAGACAGATTAACTCGTAAACAAGTCGACAATTCCGATTTATGGCTAATTTTATTAAAATTACGTTCTGTGCTAATATTTTTTTTTAATGTTTGTACAGTTGAACATCTTGAAATTTTTTTGAATAAGATATTTTTTCAAGTTGAGGCACATAATTTGGGTATTGATTTCACATCTTTATTAACACCAAAGTTCTATCTTTTCTCCCAATCTCTTCAACTTACGCACAGAAAGCCTTTTTTACTTCTCAGAAGTAGTTTTTTTGAGGATTTCAATTATTTTTCCGAAGCACGTTTTACTGTGATATACTGAGGATTATATATATGATATTTATGAATTAAATTTTTTCTAATCATTATTTTTATTTGTGAATAATTATTCTATAAAAATATAAATAAAATATAAATGTTTATAATTATATAATATATAATTATTAATTATAAATTTATATTAATAATACAATTATTTAATAATACCTAATTATTATTATTATAGTATTAAAATAGTAATAATAGGTACATATTATTTACGTAGCTGTTGTTTTGTAACAATAAATCGCGTAAAATAACGTATGTAATAATGTAAATGCACGAGACCTCGATATCGGAACAACGCGAGTACGTAAAAAATATTTTATAATATAATAAAAATAAATAATAATTAATAATAATTCTGCAAACGTAAAACTAGCTAGCTGTTGTTGTGGGTGAGGTTCGCGGTACGGTAGCGGCCCGCGCGTGGCAGTTGCTACGGCGCGGCGTTGGAAGGGGAAGTTTGGGCGGCCGCATCTCGCTGTATGACGGACGAAAGAAAAAGACTCACAAAACTACAGTTTTTAGCTCTGTCTCTCTCGCACTCTGCATTCAACCAACGTGTGCGAGTGAGAGGTCCGAGCGCCGAAACGAAACTTGATGTATAATAGTCTCGCTATCGGTTGTCGGTGTACTGTTTCTTATCGGTGTTACTTATGCACAGAAAGGAGTCTCTAGCGAGACTCTTCGGTAATAATATTATTTATTGGTATTTTATAATATTATGACGTGATAACTGCATGATGTTAACTCTCCCGATTTTTAAAACTATAAATTACTCTCCCTGCCGCTTAACACAGTGGTGTAAGCACGGGAGGAGGAGGAGGTGTGCACTGGGGGTCCACACTGTGTATGGTATTTTTTTTTATTTACGATTATATTTATATTGAACGTAAAAAATATGACCGTACAGTATCCATGTTAAAAACAATGTTGAACCCCCCCCCCTCCTTCGAAATTTGTATTTGGTTACCTACAGTCTTGCTACATTTACTACAATTTTAATACCACAAAAAATATAAACAATACTTAAAAAATACTAAGTCATGACAAATAATAGGTAGGCAGACTAATATAATATTATATTAAAAAGAACCAATAATAGTAAAAAGATCGATTTTAAATTTTTCGTCTATGCGAATTACAACCACATTCCGTAAGGCATTGACAAAATTCCTAATCGTTAAACCGTGTGACAATTAGAAATCACACAAAAATGTTAATTTCCGATAAAAATGTCAACAATATAACGAGTCCAATGTTTAATACACTCCTATAGTTGTTTGTATATTACTGTTTGTATTATTAAACCTTATCGACATGATGCATATTCTACTAATTAGTAAACATAAACATCTATAATCTATGTACATATATATGCAGACACAGGCATAATTATAATTTAAAAATGGTCCGATAACAAAAATGGTAAAACAACTGAAAAACTGAAATGACTCATCGGCAGCGAACGCTTCAAAGATAACATGCTGTGTACTTGTGATAAACGTTTAACCTATACCACACCAACTGACGTTTAATCGTTTAACAAAGTATCGATTTTAAGATGATATTTTTGCTTATTATAATAATATATTGGATTACAATTTAAATCTGGTCCAATGCAAAAAAAGGACTACCTATTATAAAACCAATATATTATATAATATATTATAAAACCAAAGCATATTATAAATTTTTGATTTATGTTTGCCGATTCAAAATCCCTAATGTAAGTGTATTAAACTCGCAAATCGACAAAAGAGGGAATCGTTTTTCAAAGCGAAAATATTTCAAAAAAAAACATTAAATACGATCGTAATAATATAGGTACGTACGAGTACCTATAAGTTATACCAGCATAACGCATGTTTAATTATAACACTCGTGTTAAATACATATTATTTATTTATTTGTTTATATTAAAAGTAACACGATGGTAAAGAGCGCAGGCGTCCAATAGTACAATAATAATAATAAATATATATATAATAATATATAAATATAATGATAGTAATATATACAAATGCGATCATTATATTTAAACTATTAAAATACAATATGTAACAAATTCTTTAAAGTAATGCTTTTATTATTGTATGTCTGTGATCTTTACGGTTTTTATGGAAAAATTAAACAAAGTCGGGGGGACGAGGTGGCCGAGCGGTCAACGCGTCGGCTGCGGCGCTGCCGGTTCGGGTTCGATCCTCGACCACTGGGCGGCATTTTTCTCCGGGCAAGTCACGGTGTCCGGAGAATAATTGCCGCCATCCCCCACTCCGGGGCATGGCAGAAACCTACGGGTGCCCCATTCGAAATTCTGCCAAAACACAAACACTCACGTGTAAACCCCCACCAACAAAAAAACCTACCATCACCACCTTACAACCTACTAACAGCTAATGGCCATAGATGCTTAAGGATCAATAAAAAAAAAAAAACCAAACAAAATCGAATACATTTCAATGTTTAAAAATTAGATTTTATTATAGGGAGCAATTTAAAACTAAAACAAAATTATAACGATTACTAAATGTGGAAAAAAAAATTAAGCTATTGACAGACTAATTTAATAGTTTATATTCAAATAAAGAATCGATGAAATCGCGCATTGTAGGTACCTACTAAGAGGTGGGATATTAGGACATAAAATATAATATTGTTAATGACCGGATAACACCTTAAAAGCTATTGTCAAAGTTATAATACAATAATAATAATAATACATTTTATATACCTACTAATAATAGTTGGAGCGATTGTCAACGCTTAAAACGAACGTTTTAATTTCAAAAGCTATTTTAATAATATAGAAAAAAAATTAGAAAATAATAGGTAGGTACGTGTAAAAACAATAAAAATGAAAATTCGTAAACACCAAATGTAGGTGGTATGCGTTGTAGATATTATAAATAAATATATATATTTCATTAATTGTGCACTTATTATTTTCTAATATAATCAGTCGAACCTCGGTACTTCGGACATATCGAAACTTCGGGTTATGGAGGTCACTTAGATAGGTTCAGTAATTTACTAATTTATAATCGGGACTGAAAAACAAACTCGGTGAACAAAAATGTCGAGATACCAAGGTTCCACTCTAATAACAATTAATATCATATTATAACAATAATATATAGTATGCCGTCGATTATGTTAACTACTATGATGTCAAAATAATATAATTGAAAATACTCACAACAGACGAAATGGGGGTAGGTTCAGTTCGGAATACCTCACGAGCAGACCTATTATTAAAAAAATAAATTAAAACTCGCAAACGCCAAATGTAGGTAGGTGATGTAGATAATATAAATAAATATTATATATATTTTATTAATAATGCAAATATTATTTTCTAATGTACATATTATTATAGGTACAGGTACCTAATACAGTAGAACCTCGGTATTTCGCTAGTCTCAATTTTGACCGAATACAAATTCGACATATCCAAACTTCGAGTTACGGAGATCATTTAGATAGATATAGTAATTTACTAATTTATGATCGGGACTGAAAATTCTATTCGAGATACCGAGGTTCCACTGTAATAACTAATATAATATTATAACAATAATTCCCTAGTCGATTATGATAACTATAATAATGTCAGAATAATAATATTATCGAAAATACTCACGAAGGACCAGATGGCGGCGTAGCTTCAGTTCGGAACACCTGACAATCAGATAAGCGAAAAACAGAATGGTGAAGCTATCGTCGGGTGTAGTAGAGAACGGCTTCTGCGTTCGGTTTCTACGCGTGCGCGTGTCACAGACCGCACGGACAAAGGTCAGTTCGTGTGCGCATGCGTGGTCGTCAGTGCGATTGTGTCACTATTCGGTCCGTTCGGACCGGCTAACACAAAGGAACGTTCGATTTCGATACAACAATGTAACACATAATATTATTATATCGATACTACGTTTACAATAATATTAATGTGTTGTCAATGTCACTGCATCGTTGATAATTTTCGAGTTCGGACTTTGTACGGGCAAATAATTGTTTAAAACACGGACTAAGATAACATGACTGGACCCGAGATAATTATTATGGTTATGAAATGTTATTTTGGTTGGGTGGAGTACGGGGGGGGGGGGGGGTATTTGTCCTTCTATCCGTACTAGGTCAAATTATCCCAAATCTAGTTCCATAAAAATCCACTAAGACAGCGC